GCAGGCAGCAGAAACGGTACACTGCAGTTTGTGAGTCAAGGCAAAATAACAAGGCTGAATCAGCCTCCTACTCACTGCATCCAAGCATGAAAATGTAGAATAAAGCGTACAAATCCCTGTAATGTGGAACTATACCCTTCTTCGCCTGTATAGCAGAATAGGGTCTGTTCACACATTCCTGTGGTTCAGTACATGTTACCACTGCAGATAAACCATAGAACACTAGTACAATGAAGTCACGGGAGGTGCATCACACATTTATGATCGGGTTTCACTTTTGCCCTCATACCTTCTAATCACAATTATGCATACAGTAGTACTACCTTGAATTGGTGCAATATTCCAGCGTAAGAGCAAAAAGGTAAATTGAATGCAATTACATTTATGCAAGTACCAATCAAGGGTTTCTGAGATCACTAAAAGTATTTTCCACTGGCCAAAAGTACAGAGTACTTTTCTGTGTATTACAGCAGGTCTTATCATTCCTCTACAATAGAACACATGGAGAGAATTGTTTTCTATAGGCCTTGATCACACCATACATGTATGCAGATGTGCAGAAAAACACAGCTCAATGGCCATGGTGTGAACAAGCCCTTAAGGGAAAATGGAAGAATTCTGATTGGTTAGCATGAACAACTTATTCAGTTTTGTTGAATCCCTCTATTCAAAAAGCACCTTTCCTTAGTCAAATATAGGAAATGACCTCTTTCTGAGAATGCCTAGCTGCCTGTCGATTATGCTGATCCCCTGACTTTACTACATTCTACACTACTGATCCTGAGTAAGTAAAAGTACAATTTTATTTTCATTTTCCTTGCACGTGATTGGATATTCTTTGCAGAGAGAATTTTTGCCACATTCACTAAGCTAAGGGAAAATTCCCTTGCAAAGTGAACAGCCTATTTGCCTTTAGCAAATCAACCCCAAGTACTGAAGCTAGTATGTCAACATCACAGCAAGACAACGTGTATTTGCATAGCCGGAAGACAGCCATGACAGTTTCTATATTTCTATCTGGACAGATCTTCTTTATGGCTAGTTCACATGTGCAGGCAGGAGGTGGTAAAACCTGGAGGCAGAGCCATGGTTTTACTGGCCCTGACAGCCCACCTGAACAGATATGTAACCACTCAGAGCTGTACACATGCTACAGTTGCGATACTGTGCTTCTTGGACAAAATTACACAGCATGTTCATTTGGTAGACACTACTGCTGCCGAACACAACTCATGCAAATCTATGGGACTGTACTGCAACCCCCCCTGCAATTCATACAATTGTGGTTTGATGGTGCGACATTTACAGGGTTTAATAAGGCGGTGAGAAGGCGACAAAGTGCTTTCTCACTGTCTTGTCAAGAAACCCTAAAAAGTGATCCACTGCGGAACGCTATTCAGAAGGGTGGAAAGAACTGTTGTATACATGTAAGCAAATCCTTAAGAACACCCTTTATAATATACTATTATAAACATCTTTAAATAAACAGTTACACTGCTGGTTTAATAATGTCAGTAGCAGGAAAGAACTTATGAGTAAACAAAAGCACCTAGTAATCAAAAACCCAAACACAGCATGCTAAGATACTAAGCCAATAACTCTGCTGGAAAAAAACAAGGAAAATACATATCTGCAGAAAGATTGCAGAACAGCTTGCCAATGAAGCTATTAAAAATGGTGCTTGTCTCCACATGTACAGTAGTAGAGGATGGATGAGACCTGATGTGATACCCAAGCACACACAATGATGCTCCTCTAAATACATCAATACAAAAAAAAAAAAAAAACTCCAGTTGAAGAGACGCAGAGGGGGAGTGAAATAGGATACTGCTCTGTTTGCGAGTTCCAGCCTGCTTAGTAAAACAGGTCAGACAAGTTTTCGCTCACTTTTTTTTTTCCTGTGTGTTGTGTGAGCTGAGGTGAAGTCCCAGGCAGTACCTTACAATTGTTAAGAGATGCATGACAACCTGGATGATGAGAACATTACTGCTGATCCCAGCTAAGCCGAAGGTTCACTTTCTATTTTGTTAACACCTCTGATGCTGGTTGTTGGAACATGTATTTGTACAGGTATCAGAACTTTCTGTACTAATCCAGAATACAAAACTTGGAAACAATTCTGTTAAAAAATAAACTGTGCTCCCTCGATGAGAGCTCTACCTTGGAAAAAAACAGGCCCCAAAGTGTTCTCATTTGTATCTGGGCTTAGATCTTGCCTTTTAATCCGCCAAGCAGATTTGACCATACATGCATGTGGAAAAATCTGATACATATCTGTACACAGGTACAGTACAGACTATATCAATTCAACAGATTGATTATACATTTCATAAAGAGAACCCACTGTGCATGGTGTTTTCCATTCAAAACATTTTTTAGTTTATCCAGTAAATTAGAAAACTATTAAATGATTAGCAGTGTAACATAGGCTACATGACCAATTAAAGTCCCACTGATCCCCCTCCTTGGGACTACATGTCGCATAATTCCAAGTATCACCATGGCCACTGTGCATGCCTGCCCAGTCTAGTCCTCCCTGACTGCCTGTACATGTTGGTGCAGTCAGCATAAAATCATTGGCTTGGAGTCTCTCTCTTGGGACTGTGCCTAAGAGGATGGCTCCATAGGACCCTGCAAGGCAATGCAGCCACATGACCACTTACGACCAGGGGCAGTGTTTTTTGGTTCGGCTCAACTAAGAGGAAAAGCAGGCTTAGAGGAGGCACACAAGGTAAGTATTGAGGTCAGCTGATTTAAAATGTTAGGGTTTGTTAACACTTTAATGAATTCTTGGAATTCTTCTGCCCTTCACTTCAATACATTAGATTTGGTCATGTGCTCTCCATCCAATAAAGAAAATGGGGGTTATATACTAAAACTGAGGAGTGAAAAATCTGGTGCAACTCTGCTTAGAAACCAATCAGCTTCTGGGTTTTATTGCCAAAGCTTAATTGAACAAGCTGAAGTTAGATGATTGGCTACCATGACAGCTGCACCAGATTTTGCAGTGTCCAGTTTTTGTAAATCTCCCCCACAGTGTCTAGGCAGAGCCACTGATTGGCCAGCTGTGCCTGAACAATAATCTCCCAAGTCCACATAACAAATACTACATGACCCATGGGATTGGCACTGCAGTGTTGCAGAATTCCAGTATTCAAGAAATGTATTTCAGAGGTCTCTGTAGCATTTTTTAGATTATTGTGTGGTTAGGTGATGTTCAGACAGACCTGTCTGATCAACAGCTGCCTAATCACTGCTTTTCTGCAAAGATCACATTATCAGTTTCAAACACTGGTCAAGTGACTGGCAATGGAGGGCAGAATAATTTAAGGATTCATTTTGAAAGTGTCCAATAGGTTTTTACAGTTACTGAGGGGATTATTACATAAACACATTATTATGCAGACAGTGCAGATCTTCTTGAAGCAACAGAAAAAAACAGTTACATTTATTTTCATGCAATAACCATATTAAAGATCTGCAGAGCAGTAATCACACTGCTGAGTTTATGATACCTATTTCTGTAGTGGTGTGTGTCTTTAGGTATGTAAATATGAAAGAAAGAGGTGAATGTTAAACTATTTTCTTTATAAGCCATTAAAAATAATTATTTACATTCTGAGAGCTAACACATTGACATTTTCAAATCCTGAAAAGACCTGAAGCTATTCAGTTGTCAATATTGCAGTACTAAGATGACTGAATTCACCTGAAATTACCTTTGGAGGAGTTATCAGTGAGCTGAACAAGGCAGCGTTGAAAATTTAGGGGAACAGTTTTAGTAAGCAATATTGTCCATGCAGATGTTAACAAGTCACAAATTCCTCCCATGTCAAGGCATCAAACAGTGCAATGCAAATTATAAAGAATAAAGGAGTAGCACAGAAATTAGTAGAACTTTGCGTGACATCTAGTATTTCAAGGTTAGCATGCGATGTGATGGTGGAGTCAGCTCTTTAACATTATATTGCCCCACGTATTTTAGTTTTTCTTTTTCACATAAAAAATACAGTATCTCACAGAAGTGAGCACACCCTTCACATTTTTGTAAATATTTTATTATACCTTTTCATGTGACAACACTGAAGAAATGATACTTTGCTAGAATGTAAAGTAGTGAGTGTACAGCTTGTATAACAGTGTAAATTTGCTGTCCCCTCAAAATAACTCAACACACAGCCACTAATGTCTAAACCGCTGGCAACAAAAGTGAGTACACCCCCAGTGAACTTTCCAAATTGGACACAATTAGCCACTTTCCCTCCCTGATGTTATGCGACTCTTTAGTGTTACAAGGTCTCAGGTGTGAATGAGGAGCAGGTGTGTTAAATTTGGTGTTATCGCTCTCATTCTCTCATATTGGTCACTGGAAGTTCAACATGACACCTCATGGCTAAGAACTCTCTGAGGATCTGAAAAAAAAGAATTGTTGCTCTACGTAAAGATGGCCTAGGCTATAAGAAGATTGCCAAGACCCTGAAACTGAGCTGCAGCACGGTGGCCAAGACCATACAGCAGTTTAACACTGTTATACAAGCTGTACACTCACTCCTTTACATTGTAGGAAAGTGTCATTTCTTCAGTGTTGTCACATGAAAAGATATAATAAAATATTTACAAAAATGTGAGGGGTGGACTCACTTCTGTGAGATACTGTAAATCAACACACATTATTCAAATTCCTATTTAATTATTATTCAATTGACTTCAAGGCTCAATTAGTAAAAAATCCAACAAACAAAATCATTCAATCCACTATAAATGTGTGAGTGGGCACCTTGAGCTGCCTACATGGGTTACAATATGCTTGTACAATCCTCTTTAGACTGACCAGCAATTATGTGATGGAGTAGCTTAACTATCTATTTTATTGATATATTGGATCCACACTTGCACTGTACAGCTGTGGGTAAATCTAAAAGGAGAATATACAATCAGACTGGAATGTGTGGCCAGCTGGAAATGTTTTACTATTAGATGTGGCTAGTTCATTCTGGGATCTTTGCCCTTCCCTTTTATTACATAGCTTGCCCACACATTGAGCATCTGTAAGGCCTCTCTCCAGAGTGGACAAGCATGTGGCGGTCAAGAGAGCTTGCAGAGCTTAGAGCTTTCCCACATATACTACAGCTGTGGTCTGTGCCTCCAGTGTCAGTGTTGTGCTGTATGAGCAAAAAAATAAAATTAAAACAAAAATCAGTCTATTTTATACTACAGCTTTGTTTTATAGTAAAATAAACAAGCACAAAAGAAATGCCCATCCAGATAGTATTTAAATCAGAAATGGTATTTTTCAGCATAAAAACTGAGCTGTGTGAGTGTGATGTACTTTTACATTGGCTGGTCAAAGACTGAGAGTCAAATGTACAGGGCTGTGTAAAACAACCTGTATACACCATGCTAAAAACAAAAAGCCTACTGCACACACAGCAGACTTTACATGAACATATCATCCCTGGTCCAATAATGTAGTCCAGGAAGTGGATGCCTGGACAAAATGACACCAGATATCTGGTGGAACAGATAGGTGAAAGCACTTTCAGAGGGAGAATTGTGATCGCTATAAAAAGGAATTATTAATCAATCTAGCATGCAAGTACAGAATGAAACGTGAAAGAATAAACTGGATGCAACCGCAAAAGGTTTTATTAATTTTCTTTTAGAATAGCTATACAAAACACACATTTGCTTTTCATAAGCTAAATGCTCTGTATATATGGTGCTGTTTATGGCAGAAGTGGTGGCACAGTACCTGACGAATGTGCATAGTAAGCTGATGCTGGGAATTGCAGAGTTTTTCACACAGTGGGCATGTGTATGAGGACTTCTCCTCCTTAGATTCCTGATAAAAAAATGACAGCAATTAAAAAAAACCATTGATAGCAAAAACATACAAAAAGCAATGCCGATTAGTAGATTGAAAATCTGCTGAATAAGAACACATTTAAAAAATAATTTGGTAATAACATTGGTGGTAATTTATGTTGTGATGAAGATGGCTTGCTAACAGAAACAGATATTTTAGTTTATTATCGGTAAGGATGGCCACAGACGAGCTAATGCCTCGCCAGGACATCAGCCAGAAATGCAATCACCAAGAACAGGCATTTTTAAAGCCTCACAAATGCATGGCAATGCTCTATACTAAATATGTCCATTATGCAGCTGACACTGTAGTTCAGGTGGTAGCATTGGGGTTGATTTACTAAAGGCAAATAGACTGTGCACTTTGCAAAGGGCAGTTGCACTCTGCTTAATAAATGAGCAGAAACTCTGCTGACTTCCATCATCCAATCATGTACAAGCAAAAATGTGGTTTAATTTTTTTTTCCTTGCACGAGATTGGGTGTTCTCTGCAAAGAGAAGCTATACCTCATTTACTAAGCTCTGGAGCAATTACACTTGCAAAGTGCACATACTATTTGCCTTTAGTAAATCAACCCCATTGCGTCATGACAAATCCTATCTAGGATGTCGCATTCAGATGACTTTACCACTCCTCAAACGCCTTTATTCATGTCAATGCGTTACATGCTTCAAATGCTTCACAAACATGCTTATGACACTTGTATCACATATGACATGTGTTAAAAAAAGTGTTACTAGTCGAGATGATAGAAACAAAAATACATATGATAGAAAACCAACACAGAGGAAGCAAGCATTATTTCATGTGATGCAACTGCATCAAAAACATAAATAATGCATCTTAGTGCAATAAGCCTGTTAATGGGTGCCAATGATATCTAAAATGTCGAACACATCTAAACTGCTTTATAGGACATCTTTATTGAAAACAATGTAGAAGCTGTCATTGTCATTGCTTTTGAAAATGTAATTTGCCTGGTTGTCTCTCAAAATACTAAAGTCATTTGGTCAGCATAGCAGCCAGGCAAACAGCACTTTCAATTCCAGGGGTCAGCAATGGCATCCTTCATATTTCCTTCAGTACAGGTTTCCTTGAAGAAAGTTTTACATGCAAAGGTAAAAGCTGGTAACTGATAGTGCAAGTCCTGGCAGCTAAATATTCATTTTTGTACTGTCTACTTGGCCAGTCGGTAGGATGTTGCACACAAGGTCATATTTTTAACCTGCACAAAGCCTTTTCCTTCTCCCAGCCATCCAGAGCCGGCTGTGAAACACTGCCTCCCAGTGGAAGCATTCCTGTGAAACAGCAATTTATGTGTCTTTATAGTTAAAATAAAACTACCAGTTCTACTAAAATATTGGTCTGGCATGTGAAGCCTTGTGTAAGAATAGTGTCCATAACTGACAAAAGTTTACAAAACTTTTATGAACAAAATAAATTAAGTTTTGGAAGGAATATATGGATAACATTTGGAGAGAAAGATCTATTTTCAGCAGGATAAATAATCATTTTACTTTTCTGCACATATTTCCTGGCCAGATTTATCTGCAATGTATGCGATGGATTTTCCTTTACATCAGCATATTAGCTAAAGACAGAGCAATTACTGGCTCACCTTGAAGTGAAGAATGGCACATAATCTAGGCCATTGCAGCAGATGGCTGTTTACACAGGAGTTTATCATTAACAGAGGACCAAACTTTCTCTAATACCAGCACAGGGAAAAAATGATGGGAGATGCTAGTGTTACTACAGCAGGTTCTGGTACAAGAAAATGGCAGAGGAGCAGGAAGGAAAAGGTGCTTTTATGCCATTGCACAGATACAACAGATAAATCAAACAGAATTTAGAGGGGAAAAAAAACAGCCACACTGAGTGCTCACAGGCTTTTTATTTATTTATTAACCACTTCCCGACCGGACGGTGGCAGTGCAGAGTCGGGTGGCCGTTTATAAACGGCCTCCCCGCACCCTGCTTGTGCGCGCTCCCACGGAGCACGCAGCACCACGATCCGGTGCCCGCTGTGTCCTCCGGACACAGTGAAACACCGATCGTCGGACGGGACCTCTGTACGAGGTCCCGATCATGTGATCACTGATTGGCCAATCAGTAATCACATGCAAAGTAGTAAGCAAGATGTCACTTGTGACATCATTGCTTACTATGTGTGAAATCTGTGAATGATCACTGAGGTCACATGGTACAAGGCTATTCACAACAGCCTTCTACCATGTGACAAGCTGTGACCAATCACAGCTTACTCAGTACTTCTCAATGAGTGCAAGAATGCACACAGAGAGAAAGAGAAATGATTGCTTTTACATCCTATATGGGTGTAAAAGCAATCAGTGTAAAAAAAAAAAATCTTCATCACCCCCCACAAGTAGTAGTGTGTCACCATGGTGACACTGTACTGCTAGGGTGACAGTATGTAAAAAAATAAAAATAAAAATAAAAAATAATACAAAAAAATTAAATAAAAAAATGTTTAAAAATTATAATTTTTGGTTATAAACTAATTTGGATTTTTTTTTTTTTTTACTAAAAAGATAACAGAATAAATTTTGGCAAAGATTTATGATGAAATATTATTTATTTGCTAAATTTTATTATTTTAAATGTTTTAAATGTTTGGACTTTTTCATTTACATAGCAAAAAAAATAAAAATCCCAGTGGTGAATAAATACCACCAAAATAAAGCTTTATCTGTCTCAAAAAAAATGGTAAAAAATTCATTTGGGTACAGTGTTGCATGACCGCGCAATTGTCATTCAAAGTGTGATGGCGCTGAAAGCTGAAAATTGCCCTGGCCAGGAAGGGGGTAAAAGTGTCCGGTCTGGAAGTGGTTAAAAAAGGAACAAAATTTAGATTCCATTGACGTGTTTGACAGATACCCTTAAATGACCCATTCTTGTATTATTAATGCATCTGATAATTGTGTTATGTTTTGTATCATCAGCTGACTTGTGTCCATACACTTCCATGATTATAACAACTGATAATCTTCCAGTGTATGGTGTTAGACTCCTACAGCTGATCAGATTTACTATAAATGTATCTACAATATTGTATCAGAACACAGAGATAGTAGCTAGTCAAATCTCTGCTTTAAAACCATTAGCCTCATGCACACAGGACTTGTTTAATCCTCCTAGAAGCCAGCAGCGTTTTTGCAGAAAAACACACCGTCTAATGTTTTACAATCGTTTAGGCACATTTACATGCGTCAAGCACTTGGGTGTTAATTTATTTCATTGGCCAGACTAAAGAATCTATTCTGGCCATTGAAATTAATTATCGCTAAAGCCCTAAAACGCACGTCAGGGCATTTTTAGACACGTTTACACGTGTTTTCTTTGCTCAAACTCTGCTGAACAAAGCTACATCCGGGGCTGTAGCCATGAAAATGTTGTGCTAATGTTTACATTCATACATGGACCCTATGGGCTGCTGGTCAGGCAGACATGTAAGCAACAACAATTTGTAACTAGCGGCAGGACTGCCATTAGTGTGCTTACACATTGTCCCTAAAGCACAAACAAGACATGTGCAGAGCATATGAACATCTTTTCACACAGGATCTTGCAGGCAGCAAATCCATACAGCAGTGTGAATGAGACCTTATAGGTACAACACTTTTTTATGACTATAGAGAGCAACATGATCATCTTGTAGGCTGATGCTACAGACAGTTTACGCGCAGACAGTGTTGTGCATTTGACAAGATGTGATTGATAGGTTTGGCAAACCTTCCCTACCTGATTTCTTCTGCCAATTCGGTTTGTAGGTGGACATTTCCCTGGTGATTTAGTGTTCTGAAGATTCCCCCCATTTTCTACAACATGTGCTGTGCTCATCACTGCTGACATCATGGCGTTTACAGATGACAGGTCGTTCACCTCAGATCCATTGAGAAGGCTGGTTGGTTTCACGGGATCTTTTACAGAGGCTATAAAAAAAGACCAGCACTCAGATATTAAAATCATCCTGTTGCTACAATGCTTACTAAAAACAAAATTGAACATCTTATTTAGTGTCCCACATTTTTAATACCAAATAAACAACCGTATTTATTAAGTATTCAAACTAGTACAACAGAAACATCACCGGCCCTCTAAATCCATCCCACTTATTGATCTCTGGGGATGAACTGATTAAATGTGTTTTTAAAACATTTTTTTCAAGAGATTCCAGTGGCAGAGAGATCCTCCAACTATCCCTGCCTAGCCATAAACAGGCATGTGTGGGCAATCGTAGCATGAAGATGATCTGTTGGCTGTAAAATCCCATCCACACTTCCAACATCCCTCTTAAATACATGGGTATCCTATGTTTTAGTAGGAAAGAGCTAACAGAACAGATGACAAAAAAAAATTCAAACTTCATGTATGCATTACAACATAGGAGGTCCAAAATCATATTCAACTTGGGGAAAATGTTTTTATAACTTTACTTTTCTCAAGGCCTAGGGGACCAGGTGTAGTATTCTGAAAAATTACCCTCTTCAGAAACCCATTACAAGTCTGCAGGGCTGACGTAGGCAGTTGCTGGTTCAGTCGACTCATTTTACCCCCTTTTAGTCTGTTATCTTTCATTTCATCTGAGTTATAGTATGTAAACATCCAAGAGCAGCTGGAGGAGCATGCAAAATGTGACGGCCATCAGCAACCACTCTCAGCTGCCTCAAACCCAAACGTGATTGGCCGACTCATCAGAACTTTATATTTGGGGGTGGGTCGGGGAATATCAGAAATGAGGCAGGATTTGTAAGCAACCTAAATTTTTCCTCATTGGTGTTGTTGGGTAATGGTTCCATGGGCTTGAGATTGTCTCATCCGATAACTGTTGTTTTAGGGCCTGGATTTTATTCACTTCAACTGTGTTTTACTTTCAAATAAGAATCTATGGTAATGCAAAAACCCACTTAAAGCAGATGAAATGCAGGTCAGAAGGTGTTCAACTGCAGGTCAAATGCAGCTGTCAATGAATTCTCAAAGTTCTCATAAGCACCTCAAACTAAGGTCATCGACACAGACCCCAAAAACTGAGCTTCTTGTGGATATTTTGTTGATGCTGGTTCATGGGCAGCCCAATAAAATAAATGCTTGTAAACATACTTCACGGGTGTGAATAGGGTCAATATGTAGATGCCGTTTTTACTGGGGATGGAGAGGTGACCAAGGAAGCAGAGCTTCAGAAGCCATTTTTCCTTATAGCCACCTATCTATCAGATGGCTTAGCAAATTAGGGTATGGGACCTACAACTGATTTTTTTTTAGATAATGTTTGCTTTTAATACAGACCACATTTAACAAGAATTAAAAAAAAAAAAAATCACTTGTAACTTGAAAAGTGGATAGCAAAAGTGTATGCACAAAACTGAATTGGGCAGATATGTAGAGGCCAAAGGAACATGCTGACTTATTTCACAGGAATACGTTACCTCCTTTCTCATTAGCTGTGAGTTCAGTTATGGTTTGAATGTCTTGTCTAACACTGCTATCTGTCATGATGGTGGCAGAGACACTGTATCTTGAGTCAGCAGCAGCTCTCTCTAACACTGCAAATGAAAACATGCATGTCAGTGTGGTAGGAAGTGACTTGAAAACAACAGGCATTATTTGAATGATTTACATAAACATACCATTGCACATTGACGAAAGAATATGATCATATTACCAGGCTGGAGGAAAACACAGGTCTGTATTGTCAAGCTAAGGTAAGATTTAGGCTACATTCGATGTCACGCAGTGCAATCAGAGGGGTACATTGTAGGCATGCCTCACTGCTGTGAAACATGTTTTACTGGAAACTGCACCAAAGATGAAGCATGCAAAGATACGCTTCTGTAGTGTGAGATCGTAGACGAACAATGATCAGCTTTAACAAGCCTGCAAAGACATATGACCTGACCTTCACTTTGCAATTAAAGAAGTCTCACTGGAAGAACAACTTTTGTTTCTCCTGTTTCCCAGGGGATGAAATCATTTGTCCAATTCTGATAGGTGCCTTGGATGCTGAACTAGTGTGGTCAGCAGTGCACCACCCTGCACTGTCTGATGCTGCTCATAAAGAGAGGAATACCAAATGAGGTCTGACCAGGACTGACAACTCATGGGGCCCCCGGGCAATAGGGGATCATGGGGCCCGTGTCCTCGCCCACACTCAAACCACACCCAAAAAAGCCTACGAAAGGTACCAGGGGCATCTCATGGGGCCCCCTAATGACCCAGGGAACTTGGGCACTGCCCGAGTTCCCAAATGGTCAGTCCGCCCCTGGGTCTGACTGACAACAAGGAGCGGGGGCAATTACAGTGGTCGTCTCTGGCAGCAGGCACATCCTTGAGACACGCACTGCCATTTACAATAAAACAAGCCACCAGCTAGTTTTTCATTGTGATCTCTGTCCACAGCCCGCATTCTCAGCACATGCCACATCTACTAGCAGGACAGACGTGCTGTGTGGACTTCTGCATGGGAAGAATGAAGAGGTGGCAATGTGCTGTTAGATACTCATAAATTGGGCTTTAGCCTGGGGTGGAGCTGACAGCCAGTAAAACAGAAAGAAAGAGTCTTTTTATTCCCGAAAGAAATGATGCTTCTGAACAGGACAAAGTGCTACATACACTCTGTCCCCTGGAGCAAGGGTCTCCAAACTGTGGCCCTCCAGCTGTTGAAGTACTACAAGTCCCATCATGCCTCTGACTCTGGGAGTCTTGCAAGGCCTCATGGGACAAAATGCTGGTGATACTTCTTTAACTGAACAAAAATGCTCTTTAAAGCAGAACAATGAGTGCACTGGAGTTTTATTCTTCAATCCACGGTTTGGTACTTTGGTGCAAATACAGGTGTAATAGTCTTAAGTCAAGAGTTGCCAACAGCTGCTCATTTCCAGAACCAGTCCCAAGGTTTCGAAATTTGCCTCTGGAGATTTTATCCCACCTCTTGCTACTGGAAAGCTGCAGTGGAAAATCCTTATAGTTTGCATGCTGTATACACTCTTACCATCTATTCAGACAGTCTTGACTTTTTTAAATGAAACATCACTCACGAGGTACAATGGGTTTTTTTTTATTTTAGGTCCTTAGTTACATTACTTACACAGGCAGATTGCTCATTTTAAATTGGAAACTATTCTGACAAAAAAAACACATGATCTATATTACGTCCAGCATGTGATATTTCAGTTTGTGGGGAAAAAAACTCTAATGTAAAAAGTGTGTGAAGCTCTGCAATGATAACTACAAGGAATCAGCAACTCAACGTTCATCGGAGTTTTGTCACCGCTTTAAAAACATAACATCAGGAAACAAGAGGATGCAGGGAGGGCCACGATCGTTGGGAGGAGGGAGAAGGGAAGTAGCGGCTGACTAACTGCAGTCACAGCTCTGAGTCATGTAGACGATGAAACCAAAGCACACGCATATATGCAGCACAATACATTTGGCCTATGGAGCCCCAGCCATCTCCCACTGGAATGAAGTGTGCTACTCATGAGCTCTCCCTCTGGAACAGATGGGAAGAAGAAGCATGCACAGTTCAGAATGTACAGGAAGGAGGGAAACCAGGATGTGCAGCATAAGGAATGTAACTGGAAGCCAGAGTAAACCCATTGCTGCCAATGTTACTGCCTACCCCTGCTAGCAATGGGTTAATATTCTGGGCAAATTATCACATATAAGTCAAGCAAGTCAGTGAAGCAGTGCAATGATCAAACATCCTGGTTTTCCATGGACAAGAGTGCCAATTAACCCAGAAGCGATGACACCAAGTCTTTTGTTAGCCTTTACAAACTTGTTTTTTTTTTTTTTTTTTAAACAGTTGACAAAGGTGTCTTTCTACTTTACTGCATAACTGTTTAGTGAAAGGTTAACACTTTATAGGACAGAGAATGCTTTAAGCTTACATTAAAACATATATCCTATTAACAAGGGCCCTTATTCGATAAAGAGTGCCAAGTCTTGATGGAAACCTGTACTCAGGTCAGATTTACTTAACTTGTACCAGGAACCCAAAGGCGGTACCAGTTCTTATCTTTATTGTACATCCTCAAGGTACTGATCTGTAGTTGGAGCCCCCAAAACCTGTTTTTTTCAGATAGAAGACATGCCCCGCTTCCACTGCCACTATTTAGCACTTGCTGCAGAACTAGTCAAATGGTGGCTATTAGGGAACATTCTTAGTCCTAGTAGGCAATTGCCATACGGGGACCGATACGGTCATGCATGGCTCTACGCATATACCGACCTTCACAAAGTCAAGACCCTACAGTAGTGGGTTAGGGCAACAGGAAAACATCAGAATGAGAAGGCATTTCTACAATGCCCAGCATAGGCTTAATGACAGAGATTAAACCATGTGTGGCTACCCGGAGTGTTAGTTAAGTAAATGTGTACTGATCACTAATTTGCTTTTAAAGCTGATGCTAACCACAGTGACCCACAATAATGGGTCAGAGCAGAATTCACTATAAAATTACTGGTAATAAAAGAAAAATTCAGCTTTGGAACATGTTACATGTTTTAGCTCCTGCACCTTCTCTCCCCGCTTCCTCCCCTCCCTGTGACAACATGCAGACAGGGGACTGTTCCTTTCAACCACGCTTGCTGTCATTTTTTTTAAAGTAGTAGTGTGCAGGGCTCCATCCACACAGCCACATCATTCAGTTACAGTTTCCTGTGAATTAATATACTACAAATACTGTCAGCCACCACGACAGACATAGCTGTGGTTTGAATGAACTGCGGGTGCACTGATCAGCATGTCCGTAGTTCATTCACACTGGCTACAGCTCTGCAA